AAAAATTCTCAGTTTTTTTAGTTCAGATGTTTCTGCACAGTAGGAATATTTCTTTCTTACATACCCCTTGGAAAAGGCCAGGAAAATTGTTTTTGGTGGGACAACATATGCAATTAAAATTGAAATCTGATATGATGTAGTTCTGTATATGTTATGGTATCTAAGAAGAGAACGAGAGATCTCAAATGTATTGATATAACCTTCTTGACATACAGCTGTGCCGTGCCTTCTGTGATCTCTCTCACACAGTGGGGGTTGTTAGTAATGCCAGTGAGTCTGTCGCCATTCATTTCAATACTGCAGACCTTGGACACCTTAGGTCACATTTGGTTCTTTAAGTGGTATTTTGAGTGTTACACATTACCATTTCAGTACCAGTTTCTTCCTCTTCGATCAATGAGTCTAACCAAGAAAGGAAGAGCCGGCAAAAGGAATATTAATCTGATAACCTTCTTTTATTTGAAAAACCAACTCAGTATTATGAAAGTGCACCAGCTCAGCGAGGTTATGCATTTCATACAGTATGTGTATTGCTCTGTTGCCTTAAATTTTTTGCCTTTGCAGGTGAAGAGATGTTTTTTTCCCCACAGAATGTTTTGAATTGTCATCCAGATTCCTTTGTAACCTGGTTAAGTGCACATTGAACATTCATATTATTCAGCTGTCGTTGGCCTCCCTCACCAGTTTGCTCCTTGCCCAGCTGCTCGGTTTGGAGGGACCTGGAGAGACTCACCAGCAGAAAGCTTTGCTGCTGGAGCCAGGCACTCAGGGCTGTAGAATTCCTTAGACTTTGTTTGTTGAGAACATGGTGAAGGATGACTCACCTGTCCAGGTCACAGTTCTCCACTGTCTAGTAGTCTATTGCCTGTGTCCTTTGCTCTTCTGGACATCCAAACATTCAGTGTGAGGGGTGATTTGTGCATTTTTGATCTGCTTGTGTTGAACTTTGCTGTCAATTGATCTGTAGTTGTGTGTCTGTTTTTTTATACATGACCCTAAGCATTCTGGGATTGACTGTTCAATTAATGCATGAGCTATACCTGTGTGAAAGCCCTTGCTTTCAATATACATGGCCCCCCATTTACTATGGTATTTCCATTTTGTCCTAATTTAGAGTTGAGTGGCTAAGATGGGAGAAATTATACACCAGTCAACAATATCCAGAGCACTTCAGTACTCCAGCTAGCATGGCAGGGAAGCTAAAAAGGAAGCTTTTATTAAAAAAAACAGCCATTTCAAAGCCCACATGGAGTTTACAGCAAAGAACGTGGGTGACCTTGAACAAAACTGTGGCATAAGAGACCAAATTGGAAATTTATGGTTAAAATTCCAAGTGTCTTATTTGGCACATCTCCCTGCAGCCCACACCACACCATCTCTGCAGTCGAACATGATGATGGCAACATCATACTGCGTGGATGTTTCTCCTTAGCAGGGACTTGAAAGCTTGTTAAGACTGAAGGACAAATGGACAGAACAAACTACAGGCAAAGCAGGAAAAACTGCTTCAGACTCACTGTAAAACCATGTCAGATATTTACCTTTCAGCTGGAAAAGGACCAAAAGTACAATGTCAAAGCTATACTGAAGTGGCTTAAGAATGAGAAAGCGAATGTCCTTCGGTAGCCCAGTAAAAATCCTGATTTTAATCATTTTGAGAATCTGTGAAAAGACTTTAAATTTGCTGTCCACAAGCGATCCCCAAGGAATTTAAGAGACCTTGAGAAACTCTGCCGAGAAGAATGAACAATAATTGCATCAAGCCAGTGTACAAAGTTGGAAGAAACTTACTCAGAAGGCCTTATGACTTTATTTGCTCATAAATGTTCTTCCACCAAATATTGAGCTCATGGGTACAAATACTCATGTAATCTATATATTTAATTTTTCTCTTTAGTTTTTGCTGATGTTTACTGCAACTTATGTTACTCTTAGAAGTCTTCACTCTGAGCATTTAGGTTTTGAATACATTTTTTGAATAATTTTGGGAATTCACCATAGGAAGTGGGACACCATAGGTGTCTGAATACTTTTGCACTGTCCAGACAGTTTTTCACACTACTGTGTAAACTGATGGTTGTTCTTAAAATTAACATTTCACATTTTTTTGGTGTTCAGGTTTAATTGTCTCTGAGCAGGTTTTTTACAACCATGCCAATAGAATTAGTTTTTAATGACCTTTCAACAAAAACTGGGGAAGGATGACTATAACCAAGTTCTCTTTCAACTTAGCTGCCCTATAGTAACTTGTATCATTGCTGTCATAATATATTTAATTCAATTAAAACCATATATAAGCCTCTCTTCCTTGCATTCATCTCATACACTGTATATTAAAAATTGTTTTATTGCAAAGGAACAAGTAACAGGTTTATTCCATATAGAAAGGAGAGAAAGAAAACACAACGTTTTGGCTGTGGAGCCTTCTTCTTCTTCACCACACCCGAAACGTTGTGTTTTCTTTCTTCTCCTTCTCAGCAGGGAATAAACCTTTACTTTTTCCTACACATGCTGATGCAGCTCCCCACCTGAACTATTAAAAATTGTGCTGCCATATTGGATTACTTCTTACTTGTTCTTCACCATCACATCTGCTGTTTAAAACTTTTCTTCACTTAGAATATGCAGATCTGTTGCTCCCACAGGAATTTACTTGGATCCAGATCTTCGTGTTACTTTTCTGACTCCAGATGATCAGTTTTCTGCTACATCCTCCTTGGCAGCTGTTTTACCTCCCAAGTCAGCTGCTTCTCATTCCCAGCCAGCGTCACCACCTGGTCAGCCCTCTCTCGCCATCTCTTAACAGTTTTGCCTTCAGACCCTGGCTCTGACTGATATGATGTGCTGTATGCTCTGAGTTGCTTGCTCTGCATGAGTCAGACAGACTCCTGATAACGCCACATTTGTTTTTTGAAAGAAATATTCCACAGATACTTTATTTTACCCAGGATTGTCAGTCGTACCTGTTTGGGTACCGTGGTGGCAGATGCAAGCACAAAACCCGAAAGGTTTAACTAAAGTGTGGCTTGGTTTACAATGCAAAATGCAAAACAAATGAAGGGTTACACGGTGGTTCCCTGTTGTAGAATTCTTGCCTCTCTGGGCAGTGTGTTCAATTCCATAGCTGGGGGTTATCTGTGTGGAGTTTGTATTCTCTCCTAGTGTTTGTGTGGGTTTCCACTGGGAGCTCTGGTTTCCTCTCCATACTGGTGGGTTAATTGGCTACTGGGGAAATTGGCCCTGCTGTGAGAGTGTGCATGTCTGTGTCCCAGGGTATATCCTGCATTGTGACCACTGGATGGGCTCAGACTCTCCCTGTGACGCTGCAATGGAAGAAGTGATTAGAAAATGGAAACAAATTAACAAAAAAGCTGAGTAATTATGAAAGAAAATAAAAAAATACAGCAGCGAGGGCAAGCCCCAATCTGCCAGCATCCTTCCGTATTTGGTGAGACAGTGGACTCCTACTATAATGACTCACATTACAATATAATATATATATATCATATAGAGTATATATATATAGCTTTATATTCAGCTCTAATTCAAGACAAAGATGCTGACTTTCATAAGCACAAGTGCCAGGATATACACTCTCAATAACTTTTCTGTCTCACCCTGATAGGCAGGGCAAGACTGTAACCCGGACAGGGTCAAAGAGTGTAAACCAAAACACGGTGAA